AAACCTCAAGCACTCTGCACTGAGCAGTTAGCCACATGGAAAAAAACAATCAACTTAATGCATGTAACAATAACCACATCACAGTTACCACCTGGCCTACAGTGTTGTTAAAATAGCAGGTGGATTTCTAAGCCAAGGCACATCCCTTATTCTTGTACTGAATTTTACAATTTACAGAGACATACTTTCACAAAAATGGAATGCTCACCCCCACTCACCTTTTTTAAGTTATTGATTACAATCTATGTACTTTTTGTGTTTTTTTTGTTTTGTTTTGTTTTGTTTTGTTTTGTTTTGTTTTGTTTTGTTTTGAGTCAAGGTCTCACTCTGTCACCCAGGCTGGAGTGCAATGGCATGATTACTGCTCACCACAGCCTCAAACTTCTGGGCACAAGCAATCCTCCTGCCTCAGTCTCCCACATAGTTAGGAATGTGTTTCACTTTTGTCAAGTAAATATTATTCAAATAAACTTTAACATTTCTTGCACCTTCACTAATTTTTAAGTTTTCCTTTTCCACCCTGCCTTGCTAGATAATCAAGTAAAACTGTTGGGAAAATATCAAAGTTATTTATTTTTCTTGCATCATTTTTGAAGAAGGTATATCTTTTTAAAACCAATAAAACAAATGCGATTGTACTTTTTAAAAAAAATGTTGGCCTAAACATAAGGAATAAACCTATAAAACTCCTAGAAGAAAACATAGAGAAAAAGCTTCATAACATTGACTTTGGCAATGATTTCTTGGATCTGACACCAAAAACACAAACAACAAAAGCAAAAATAGGTAAATGAAACTACATCAAACTTCAAAACTTTGGTACATCAAAGGGCACAGTCAACAGAGTGAAAAGTCAACCAACGGAATGAAAGAAAGTAATTGCAAACCATATATCTGATATAGGCTTAATATCCAGAATACATAGAGAATGCCTACAGCTCAATAACAAAGAAACAACCCAATTTAAAAATGGGCAAAAGGATTTGAATAGACATTTCTCCAAAGATAATATACTGATGGCCAAAAGGATATGAAAATATGTTCAATATCACTAACCATTAGGGAAGTGCAAATCAAAACTACAATGAATTATCACCTCACACCCCTTAGTATAGCTGCTATCAGGAAAATAGAAAATAACAAGTGTTAGCGAGGATGTAGAGACTTGGAAGCCTTGTACATTGTAGGTGGGGATGTGAAATGGTGCAGCAGCTATAGAAAACAATATGGAGTTTCCTCAAAAAATTATAAATAGATTACCATACGATCTAGCAATCCCACTTCTGGGTGTATAGCTAAAAGAATCAATAGCAGGATCTCAAAGAGGTATTTGCACACCAGTGTTCATAGCAGCATTATTCACAATAACCAAGAAGTTGAAATAACCCAGTGTCCATAGACAGATGAATGGATAAGCAAAATGTGGTATATACATACAGTGGAATATTATTCAGTCTTAAAAAGGAAGGAAATCCTGTCACATCCTTCAACATGGATGAACTTTGGGAACATTGGGCTAAATGAAATAAGTCAGTGACAAAAAGACAAATACTATATGACTCCTCTTATATGAGTTATCTTAAGTAGTCTAATTCAAAGGAAAAGAAAGTAGAGTTGTGGTTGCCAGGGCCTAGGGTTAAAGAGAAATGTAGAGTTGTTTAATGAGTGAAGAGTTTTAGTTTTGAAAGTTAAAAAAGTTCTGGAATCCTGTTTCACAATAATGTGTTTATATTTAACACTACTGAACTGTACGATATATATGTCATATATTAAAATAGATATAATAAAAAATCTTTGACGTAATCTTTTTGTGGTAAAATATAAATGATATAAAATTTACTATTTAATCATTTGTAGGCGTACAGTTCAGTGGCATTAAGTACATTCATATTTTTGTGAAGCCATAACCACCATCCATTTCCAGATAATATATAATCTTTAATTTAATGATGAAAGTGTTATTATAGAACTAAAATGGTGAAATAATATTAGTTACTAACTGCTGAACATCTGGTGAAAATACAGAACAATGGAAATACTTTCAAATATTCTATGTTTAATAACGACTTAAATGCCTCTTTGAACTCATTAAGTGCCTTTTATGTGTTGGCTTCTGCACTACCTGCGATGATGGCAAGATCACAGAAAATAGACAGACCATTTAGCTGCCTAGATTGCTCTGACTACAGGAGAGTGGACTTTTCCCAACCCTGAGTTCTTGATTTCTGGGGTTTCCTTCCAAGCAGGGATGCCAAAGCAGACTTAGATGAGACAACACATGACTTAACAGTGACTCCAACCAAGTCAGCAAGAGGACAAGTCCTGCATTATGCAGAAGTTCTCCCAAGCACAGAGTTCAAGTGAACCCTCCTGAATAAAAGCCACACTCTTCCTCTTCATTAAATCATTATTTGTGTTTCAATCTTCTCCCAAATTTCTCTCTAGCTTTCACTCCAAGATGTAACTAAATAAACACATGGAACTCCACCTTTCATGACTCTTTGCTTCATTTGCAAAACATCTTTTCTCATTGTAAAATCATTAAAATAGGGAACTTAAGGTGGCTGGAGGCTCTGGAAGTGAATATGACCTTTAACTCTGAACTTTCACTATGTTCTTGACCACTCTCATTTTCATGACCGAGAGAATGAAAAACAATTTTGCATCACTGCCTGTGTTTTTTTCCAATTTTGTCTCTGTCCTCCAAGGCCTGGATAACCTACACAATTGTTTCTGAATTTGCTTACCTAACTTATTTCCACTAGCTAACTTTGATTGTTTGCCTTCTTTTATGCAATAATTTCACCTCTTAATTTCCCTTACAAATAGTGTTTGCAAATTTACCTAGTAACCTAAGGAACATGCTAGGCATAGAAAGACATGAATAAAGTGGGTTCCTTGCCTTTATGGAATTCTCTAATAGTCAAGACAAACATATAAACAAATATCTACAATACAATCTTATGAGGACACTAGTAGAAATACATGCAGTCAGAAGGAAGGGATGATTAACTCAGGTTAAGGGAGCAGAGGAAGAAATGTAGGTGGCAGGAGACACAGTGGCAGGTTCAGAAACTCCCAAGTCCTTCCAAAGCAAGGCACGCAAGAGTGAAGGCTAAATCAGTAGGCAGAGGCCAGACTACGAAGACTCTTTTGTATCATGCTAAAGCAATTCACTTTCTGCAGTAGGCAATGTGATCCACTAAAAGACTGCAATTTTCTTTAAAATGTAGGATTCATATATACCTCTGAAAACAAGTTTAGGTTATGTTTTATTTCTTAATCTTAAAGGTTTGTTCCATTTTATATCTAGTTTTTCAGTTTATTTGTTTAGAAATCAGGATTAGTAGAATACTAAAAAGTAAAACCAGAGGAATTCCCCACAATCAAGTAGAGCTGGACTGTTTACAAGGAAGCCTGTTTCTTCAAAGTCCAGAATCATTCTCTTTGTTTTCATTCCTATTCATAATGATGAAGAAAATATAAAGTTAAATATTAAGTTTAAATCCAAAAGAGGATGCAAATTGGAGGAAATGGATTCATCCTGGTTCATATAACATTTCTGTATTATTTTAGTTTGAGAAGTTGGCATGAATACCCATGGATGATGGATTTCTGTTCCATCACATGGGTGTTAATGTAAGGGGAGGAGGGGATTTCCTCTGACCCTTCTTCCTCATCTGCTTCTTAACCTCCTTCCTGTGTTCAGGCAGTCAGCAGCAGTTCTTTGCTGGACACCACTCACCATACTCACAGCAGGTCAACAGCCAACTATTCTCATATCTGGAATTAATTGCATATGTTTTGTTACTTAAGAGATCATCAAATTCCAAGTATATTGCTAGATATTCTTGATTGCTTTCCATAAACTGGGAGATATTGTTACAGAAAATAAACTGTTGTTTAAATTAATACTACTGGAACATTAAGAGCATTTTCTCAAACAACACCCTCTTTTCCTGTTACTATGATAAAGTCTGCACCAATAGTGCTAAGCTATAGTTTCTACAGATTTGCTCTCCTTCAAGGGATGGTTCAATTGCGTGTCAATTTTGCATTTAATGTCTTCTACATTTAGGATTTTTACTTATTAAAAAGAACTTCTGGGCCAGGCACGGTGGCTCACACCTGTAATCTCAGCACTTTGGGAGGCCAAGGTGAGAGGGCTGCCTGAGCCCACAGGTTTGAGACCAGCCTGAGCAACTTGGCGAGACCTCATCTCTAACAATAACTCAATAAATTAGCTGGCATGGTGATGCACACCTGTAGTCCCAGCTACTTGGAAGGCTGAGGTGGAAGGATTACCTGAGCCCAGCAGGTCGAGGCTGTGGTGGCCATGAGCATGCCACTGCACTGCAGCCTAGGCTGGAGTGAAACTCCGATTGGAAAAAAAAAAAAAAATCTTCTGGATAAATTTACTTTTCCAACTGCCTTTACTCAAGCATGTATATCAGTGCCCTAAGAAATCATATTTTGAGCTTCCCAAACACACTTAAAATAGTGTTTTGGAAGAATAACTAGAATTAAGAAAACACCTGAAAAAAATTCCTGCTTAATAAGTATCATTTCTCCCATTTTTTTTTAATTTTTAGACTGATATGAATTTTATATTTAAGAAGTTATGCATCACATCTTGTTCGGTCATACAAATGACTGACTCTTAATTACCACTTCTCTTATGTATGTCTTCAATATCTATTAATGGAAATATGGTCACACAAATTAAAACCTATAAAACAAAGCTTCTTTTATTGAAAAACCACATAAAGGATTGTATTTCTGCTTTTAGACATGTTGGTAATGTTATTTATCTATTATAAGGTCACTTTTCCTTTTTCATGAAGTGAGTTTAGAAAATATATAATACATGTAAATGTAAGTTTATTGGAGATTAAGCCAATATGGAGATTTTTCCTATTTATTAGTATTATTACACATAGAAATAATGTATAACTCAATCTTCTGAATGTGTACATTTCTCTTTGCCTTTGATATTTCAGCTTCATCAAGCCCAGAAGTCATCAAGATAAATTCAATTCTGGATATAGTAACAAAAGTGGAAGACTATTATCTTAAAGGATATATAGTTGGGGCTATTCATCCCATTATACAACCTGTGGGGCAGCGAAAACACTTACCTGCAAGTTACCTATATAGGGTGGTGCTATCACGCTTGAAATTAAGGTAAGAGGCAGTTGAGAGTGACAGTTTTCTTTATCTAAAAGAAAAGAAATCTTGAACAAAGTAATAGAATAAAGGATAATTTGGGGATTTGGGTTTAAGGCACTTTTTAAAGCAGTGGAATCTCAACTGAAGCAAAGAAATTTATACCTCCTTTCTTAAAACTCTTGGTTGATTTTAGCTTCTTGCAGACAGAACTTAGAAAACCGGAAAATAGAAAAACTGAGGAAAAAGAAAAAAAGAAAGGGCCTTGAAAAATTCCACATGTGTTTATAAAGGACACTGTCTCCTACCAAGTAATTGCCAACTTACAAATATCTGGCAGGGTGTATATAGGCTTCAGCTCTCCCCAGAATACGAGCCTCATCAAATATTTACTAGTTCAAGCATTACTAAACAAGCATGACATTTTTGCACAGTAGTAACACTTATGTCCTAATTACAAATCTTTTCAACCATGTGTCAATTATCTTTTCTGTTTTTAGAATTGCTTCAGATAGACTCAGTAGTGCCCTGACAAGGCTAAGAATAGGCAAGAGAAAAATCAGAGAAGAAAAAGAAAAAGTTGTCTGCATTTAAATAAGATTTTTATTTGTGCTTTTTGTTCAATAATAAGATATAACAATGATCTAAAAGTATTTCTCATAACTCTTATTAAAACAACAGACGTGATGCTTTTCTTTCTTTTTAAATTAAATTAATTTAAGTTTAAATTAAGGAAATTTAAGCTAGTAGCAGTTATTGTGTTTTTCTGGTATTTTTATGTAAAAAGATAGCCATCTGTCTTGAAATAACAAAAATGATTGCTTTGATCTTATTTGTGAGTTGTTTACTCATTTTCACTTGAGCCCATTAGCTGAAAAGCAGCAACTGGCCTCCAATCATGAACATATTCTCTCTGTTATAGCCCAAAGCATTCGGCAGTACCCAGTGGACAAAGACGCCCGAGGCTTGTGATTGAGGAATGTCCTCTAACTTATGAGACACAAACAAATGATACAGCAAAAGAACTGATAGAAAAGGTATGAAATGTATACATTTTTTCACAGGGTATTGAGAAATATTTGGTATTTCTTCTTTATCAATTGTCTTTTTTACTTTAAAAATAGTAGGGGAATGGTAGGTGAATTTTTCTATCACAATTTAAAACATATTGAAACATTTATACCAAATTGTATAGAGTTAAAAACAGAAATACAGGCCACTGAAACAAAATAGAGATACCAGAAGTCAATTTAAACATAAAAAATAATTTTTATAACAAATGTAATGAAATAAATGGAGAAACAACCATTATTTAATGAATGCTATTGGGAAAGTGGGCAATTTTTCTGTAGAAAATAGATTCCACACATTCAGATGAGATAAAGAGGTAATTTTTTACGTATAAAAAATCCAAAAGAAAATAGAACAGTAAACATATTCAATTATGAATAGATTGAGGAGTTTGAGTATGTAAATAAAACATATGTTCTAAAAAAAACTAAACTAAAAAAAGAAACAAGGGGAAATCTACAATAGATGGAGATTTATTTTCAGAATATACAGTATAGGAAATGAATACAAATCCATGAAAGTGATCTCCAGTCTTAAGTGGACAGACAGTGAATACAAAAGGAAATATAAATAATATAAATAATTAGAAGACAGCAACAGGTTCAACCTAATAATTTTTAATGTAAATGAAAACTGAAAATTAATACTTTATCCAGTTTAATTTTCCATATTAAACTAGATATTAAATTGAAATTATTAAATCCAGTATTGGCAAAGCTTTAAAAAAAGTTAACATTCATATTGTAGCTGGCACTGTAACAAATTAGTATAGTGTTTCTGAATATCTATTTGGTAAGAAAAATCATAAATCCTATTTTATTTTATAACCTAGTAATTTCTTCTTTAGGAATCTATTCCAAGAAAATAATTGAAAAGGAGGAAATATCATTTTTAGACAAAGATATTTAACCAACAGTGAACAAAACACCAAATTCTCAATAACTGGAAGACTTTGAAGGAAACAGTGATGTGTCAAATACTTTATGGGCAGTAAATATGACAACTATATAGACTTAAGATAGAAAAGTCTATGCAATATAACTTTATTGAAAAGTAAATGGAAAGTTGAATACTATATGTATATTGATTAAAGAAAAAATTGTACATTCACAAATATTCGAAATTGATGGGATTTTATGGTGAAAGATTTTTTTTATTAGCTGCATTGACGTATTTATAAGGTTTCAGCTTTTGTTTAAATGCATACACCAGCAACATAGTGAGACCTTATCTCTACAAAAGATTAAAAACATAAAAAAAATTAGCCAGGCATGGTGGACATGCACCTGTAGTCCCAGATACTTGGGAGGTTGAGGAGGGAAGATTGCTTGAGTCCAGGAGTCTGAGGCTGCATGGTGAAGCGTGATCATGCCACTGCACTCCAGTCTGGGTGACAGAGTGAGAATCTGATTCAAAAGAAAATGCATACAGCCAAAATCTAAGGCATTTCCTTTAAGGTAAGAATCTGTGAAACTTGTTCACTTGCTTTTATTATTGTTTCCAAGTTTTAAATAACCATGTGTATAGGATTATCTGTGATTTGTATATAGCAAGTTATAGCTGCTAATGATATTTACCATTTAGATATAAAGTCACCAATCAATAAGTGTGTTTAGGAACAGTCTTTGAGACTAGATTTTTATAAACAAAGTAAGCATATTGTTTACTACTACTATTCTGGGAAATTTAATTTTTTTCTGGCAATAAGCCTACTCCAGCAAGTTTCTTTTGAAACTAAAAATGTAGCTACTAATTTAGTTTTAATAGATCACCATCAAAGCCTTTGTTTTGCATTTGACTTCCTGGACACAGTTAAAAATCTATTTAAACAGGAAAGTACTGTTATTTCAGCAATTAGAGTAATGGGGCTATTTCATGAAGAGAAAAGCTTCAGGAAACATAGCACATGAAATATTTGAACATTGCTTTGGGTATGAACAAGAGTAATAGATGAATGCCAAATATTATTTTTTAACACCTTCCTTGCACAAGGAGTTGGTTGTTGAGCAACTACATTTTAATCAAGTTTTAACATCGCACTAATGCTCACTCTAATTTTAAAATTAGGTTTGCAAATGTTTTGCTTAAGATTTTAAAATAAAAATAACATTTAAAAAATTAATCAGCTGTGCTCAGTGACTCACCCTGTCATCCCAGCACTTTGAGAGACTGAGACAAGTGGATTGCCTGAACCCACAGGTTTGAGACCAGCCCAGGCAACTTGGCAAGAACTCGTTTCTACAATAAATAAAAAATTAGCAGGGCATGATAGCACGCACCTGTAGTCCCGGCTACTTTGAAAGCTGGAGTGGAAGGATCGCCAGAGCCCAGCAAGTCCACACTGGGGTGGCCGTGAGCGTGCCACTGCATTACAGTCTGGGTGACGGAGTGAGACTCCAACTCAAAAAAAAAGTTAATCTTCTAACTTTTAAGTTAGAAAAGACATTAATACTATATATATTTTTATTTTGTGTTTGAGTCAGAGTCTCAATCACAGCTCACTGCAACCTTCAACTAATACTATATTGTTGTCAGAACTTTCCAGATAAAATGTACTAGTAATGGGGGGGGGAACCTTTCTGCAATTTTTCATTCAAATCAACAAATAAGCCCTAGAGAAATCACTGACAACAAGTTTACCCATTTCCATCTGTAGAATACCATATCTTCTTACCCCTCCTTCTTCTTCTCCTCCAAGACACCTGATATAAAGGAAAATGTGTGGTTATTTTTAAAGCTTCATATATGGTTGTAATCCCAATATGTTAATCTATAGAAATAAATGATATTGCACCAGCCATAGTCTGCCCTAGCTCCACGTCTCCACACTCCTCTCCCCTTCTCAGAATGTGCCTGCCTGGTAGGCTAGAGTTGAGAAAACCACAGTTGTCCCTTTTGATGGTCATTGCTCTCTGATTTTGCCCTGGTTCTTCCTGGCCTGTCCCATTCCATTTCATTCTAACTATAGATGTTTATACTTGCAGCCTCCATTATAACTCTTCTCCTCCCAGATAACAACAATGACCATATAAAAGACATTACTATTTCTTTATTTTAACTTATTTAATGAGAACTTACGGGTACCTGTAAGTATAAAACACTGCAATGTGAAGATGAATAAGACACAGACCCTGCCATTAAAGGAATTGCTAGTTGAACACAGGAAAAGACACACAAATAGAACAAAGCAATGAAGCAAAAACAGGAAGGAAATTGCCTTGAGTTTTTGGCTGTATGCATTTAAACATTAAATAAAAGCTAAATCTCACAAATATATCAATGGGGAAAGGGCTGAGACCGAAACTAACCATTCTTAAGGTCTCAAATTTTTTCATGGGCATTACATCATATACGTCAGAATCCTTTTCTTTTACTGATAACATTGAATCTAATCATATGTATTTGGCCCAGATGAGAGACAATAGCATGAAGTTATAAGACAATCAGAAAGCTTCCTAAGAGTTGTATGAATTGGACTTATGCTTTATATGTATACATTTGTCAAAAATTAGTCTTCTAACATTTTTCTTTATTTAACATCAAGCAAACAAAGCTGTGTGTTTTGCTTTTAAACCAAAAAATCTTTTCTTTAAATGTATTTGGTAATGTTATTTTTAGGGATTTCTTGGAATATATTTTGCTCCAACTGGAGAGACCACTATTACCTGGTCTGCAAAAATCATGCTGTAGAATTATTCGTTCTTCCCAGATAGTAGCCTTTCAGGGGAAGATATGATTCCTGGTTTTCATGATTTCTAGAGTATATTACTTCTGCTTGAAGGTCACTAGGACAGTGTGCCAGTGTTTTAGAAGCAGTGCTATTCTAGAGGTTACTAATTAGTTTATGAATGAATCTTTAGTTACTGGTCAATTTACTGCCTCTTCTAGTAGATTTCTTCAATAAGCTTAAGGTTTAATTGATAAAATAATCAAAGTATATAGACTTTACATTTTGTTCTGCCATCTCTTTTTAAATCTCAGATTAATGTTGCTGCTAAAAGAGGAATGAAATTTGTTGGATTCATATCACAGCATTACTCACCATCTAAATTCTGTAATGGAACCAACCATGATGGAGACATAGAATCAGTGCTACATGTGACACACAGTTCAGATGAAAACTGTAAAAGTTGGAATGAAGAAACATTAAGTGGGCAATCATCTGAAAGTGGAATTGAGGAAGAACTTCATCATGAAAGCGGACAGTATCAAATGGAACAAAATGGCAGCCCCAGTTCCTCTAAACCAAGAAAGGGAGACGGTAATAGACAAGATGAGTAGAAAGCAAATATAGTATATCTTAAATTTAGCAAAATACTTTTTTGAGTTTTGTTTTTAGAAATATGAGGTAAATTTTCAAAGACTAGGCCAGGCTCGATGGCTCAGCCTGTAATCCCAGCACTTTGGGAGTGGATTGCCTGAGCCTGTGGGTTCAAGACCAGCCCGGGCAACTTGGTGAGACCTCGTCTCTACAATAAATCAAAAAATTAGCCAGGAGTGGTGCACGCACCTGTAGTTCTGGCTACTTGGAGGGCTGAGGCAGAAGGATTGCGGGAGTTCAGCAGTTCAACGCTGGGGTGGCCATGAGCATGCCACTGTACTCCAGTCTGGGTGACGGAGTGAGACTCCAACTCAAAAAAAAAAAAAAGAATTATAAAGACTAAATGAACTAATATGTACTTGTCATGATTTTCAGAAATTATTATAGCCAGAAATAAGGCAGGGCAGTTTTTCAGACAGTTGACCCTGGAAGGCCATACAATGCCATGCTCATGATGAAACTTTGTGTTAAACTGGTTTGCATTTAGTCATCCAAAACTCTCTTGTAAAATAGAGGCTACACGTGTGTACCAAAGAAGCGAGTCTGTTAATAAAGTTGTTCTAATTTATGTCTGCCCTTAGAAACAGCATGTAGGAATTTAATTTTGGCATTTCCCACTTCAGGGTTGGTTTTTACCTTTGAAATTGATTTCTTTGATCATCAACTAGAATATAAAAATGGCACATCACGATGAAACAATTACTAGAACTCTACTGCCTACAGCCTAAAATAACTGAACAATAGTTTATTCTTCTGTGTCAACTAGCAAAAAATTGAAGAATATTTTAGACTGTTCAAAGTTTTCTGATATCTTCACAATCATGCTTTTTTAAAAAGCACTGTCAGGCTGAGTATTGTGTCTCATGCCTGTAATCCCAGCACTTTGTGAGGCCAAGGCAGGAGGATCACTTGAGGCCATGAGTTCAAGATCAGCCTAGGCAGCATAGTGGGACTCTGCTCTACAAAAAAATGTAAAAATTAGCTATATTGGTGGTGGTACATACCTGTAGTCCCAACTAGGCAGGAAGCTAAGACGGGAGGGTAGAGGCTGCAGTGAGTCATGATCGTATCACTGCACTCCAGCCTAGACCAGATCTTGTCTATAAAATAAATAAATAGGTCGAGCACAGGGGCTTATGCCTGCAACCCCAGCTTTCTGAGAGGCCAAGATGGGAGGACTGCTTGAGCCCAGGAGTTCGAGACCAGCCTGGGCAACATACCAAGATCTTGTCTCTATAAACAAATTTAAAAATTAGCCAGGAATGGTGGCACACGCCTGTAGTCCCAACTACTCCAGAGACTAAGGCAGGAAGATTGCCTGAGCCCAGCAGTTCAAGGCTGCAGTGAGCCGTGATTATCCCACTGCACTCCAACTTGGACAACAGAGTGAAACTGCTACTCAAAAAAAAAAATCGACAGTTTTTTTCTTTTTTGAGAAACTTGTCCATTGCAGGTCCTTCTGCCATGAGTATTCTGTTTTTCTTCTCTTCTTCTTGCTAATAAACTGTCTTAAAACTTTAAAATAATGATAACAATAATAACTTTAAAAGAATAATAAACAAATTAAAAAGTACTAAGAGAAAACTCAAAGACTACATATACTTTAGAGTTAACAGCGTAGGCTCTAGAGTCAGATGCCTCAATTTCTTTATAAAAAAAGGAGGTGATGGTAGGACCTCCCTCACTGGGCTATTGTGAGAAGTAAACAAGAAATGTCTATAAAGTGCTTAGCCCCATGCCTGGCATAGAATAAACCCTATGTTAAGTTAGCTGCTATTATGTGATCCTGCGATCAATGCTGGTGCAGTGAAACACACCCTGATGTCATGGGCAACCTGGGTGATGAGGTATGCTCAATGTCCTGCACATAGCACATAAGCTTCACCACAAAAGCACCAACTCCTGAAGAAAGAATGGGAGCATTTCCTAGCGTAGATCTCGTCCATCTCCACCACCGCCACTACCTTCCCCTTTACTCGCCATTTTCCCAGCTAACCACCACCCTGATTTTTCTGCAGTGCAAAAGGTATTATTATGACCCCATCCGATAAATCGCAAGCCAAGTAAGATACAAGAGACAGACACAGAGAAAAGGGAGTATTTAATTTCTATAACCAGGTTATAGGAAGACGAATTGGCATCATTGTCAAAAAACCCATACCAATCAACTTAAATCCATTCCATTATGTATACCCAAAATTCACAGCCCTTCACCCACCCCAAGCTTGAAACCAATGTGCAGTTTTAGCATAGCTCAAAGATTTACATTAACAATTTTTAATACATGAGATCACTAACATGATACAGAGTCTCCTGGTCATGCTGACATTTTAGATAACATTTTGGAATTCACAATATATTCTTTTACAGTTTTTTTGGAGGAAGGGGCAGACCATTGCAATATTTGGAAGGAAGAGAAAGTCACAACATTTAAAATGATAGTTGTATATTGTTTTCAAACATAATTTTAACAATCCTCTATTGCCAGAGCCCTGGCCTATAACAGTCTGATGTCCTTATATTCACAGATGGAGAATAGGTGGGCAATGCCCACATCAGACTTTCAGACACACTACTGTCAGCCTTGGACCATTCTCCTAATTATTTGGTGGTCTGACTTGTGGATTGTTTCTTCAGCACCAGCAGTGGCTCACTAGATAAGATTGACCAGTCGGAGAGGAGAAGGGTGGTGGAAAATAGGAAAAAATTGACACTTTGAATTCAAGCAGCTTTTACATTTAGCCCAAAATAATATAATATAAGTTTTTAAGATTTTTCTAAATGACTGTTCTAACATAACCAAAATGACCTCTTTTCAGACAACAACTGTATAGGAATGTAAGAATGAACAAGAGTTGCAAGAGCTGTGGTCAGAGAGCTATTCACTAACTTCTACCAGCTGCTACCTTTAAACTCCATGTTGGTTCCCACCCTCACCTTGAGCAAATCAGGTGTCTATTTCCAGTCCTTTAGGTTCTAAATCCAATATGAGATTAGTTAATTTTATTATCAGTCTTAATATTCTGATCTCAGATTTTTTTTTTTTTTTTTTAAGAAAATGAGCCAGGTTCGGTGGCTTAGCCTGTAATCCCACGCCTTGGGAGGCTGAGGTGAGTGGATTGCCTGAGCCCGCGGGTTTGAGACCCGCCTGGGCAACTTGGCGAGACCTCATCTCTACAATGAATTTTAAAAATTAGCCAGGTGTGGTAGCGCGCGCCTGTAGTTCCAGCTACTTGAAAGGCTGAGGCAGAAGGATCGCTGGAGCCCAGCAGGTCGAGGCTGCAATGGCCAGGAGCGGCCACTGCACTCCCAGTCTGGGTGACAGAGTGAGACTCCAACTCAAAAAAAAGAAAAAGAAAATGAGTCTGGGCTTACCATGTTGGTCAAGCTGGTATTGAACTCCTGGGCTCAAGAAATCCTCCTGCCTCAGCATCCCAAAGTACCGGGATTACAGGCATGAGCCACCATGCCTAAATATTTTTAAATTATATACTTCTCAATAACTTTTCTGTGGCCGTGGTTCTTAAGAGGGACAGGGAGGAGGGAGGCAGTAAGAGTGCACAAAAGACCTCTTGGAATATCTGGTGAAATCCATGAAATCCAAGTACTTTTGTCAGTATTATAGGTGATGTTAAACTTCCTAAAACATAACCATAACTATGGTCCCTAGATCCCAAGTTAGGAATTGCCCACTTCTAGCAAAGATATGACCCAGCATTTCCATGTCTAAGTATGTATTCTAGAATCACTCTCACACATGTCCAAGGAGACATTAAAAATGCTTGTAATAACCAATAATAGGACATTATATATATGTCCATCAAAAGGAGACTAGTACATTGGAAAACTATGTAGTGGTTAAAATAAATGAATAAGAGCTATATGATTATTTACATTTTAAAGGCATCATGTCAAATAAAAATTCAATTTTTATATTGATATATACAATATGTTACCATTTAAATAAAGTTTTAAACTGTAAGACATTACATATAAATTATGGGTACATAAATTGCATTAAAAGAATAAAAGCTTACATGAGAATGATAAACACCAAATTCATTGTAGCAGTTATTTTTGGAGAATGGAATTAGAGTATAATACATAGTAGCCTCACCTGTGTTCGTTTCTCATTTCTTTAAAAAATTAGTCTAAAGCAATTATGTAATAATGTTGACATGTGATTAATCTGAGTGGTGGGTACTTTTATTATTATCTATTCTTGTTTGTATGCCTAAAATATCTCAAGATTAATAAAAAAGATTTTAAGAATTACAACTTTCCCTTTTTCTCCTTCTGACTGCCTATCCTCAGATAACAAATTGTATACGGTCTTCAATGTTTTTGATGATGATTCAGCCTGCTGGACCTATCAGGAAGGCATCCTGTCCATGAAAGTAACAAGAAAAGGACCCGTCATTAGTACACTTGATGCTGATTGGCTGGAGTTAACTACATTTTATTATAAGCAAGGCTTATCTTTAATTGATTCTTTTGTATCCTGGGAAGCACCTAAAGGTAGGTCTTTCGTTAATGATGTGTTTATATCTACAGAATTTGAACTCGTGTCAAAGTTGGAGCTATGGCCAGAGAGCTATTTTTTTTTTAAACACTATTACCTTAACTAATGCAACTAAAGACTTTGGCTGATACTTAAAATATCAGCTGTCATGTTCCAGTAGGTCCTTTCAATTAGTAACAATATCCAAGGCTAAGCCCACTGGAGTACCCAGAAATACAACACCTTGCATAGTACTTGGCACATATCAAGTGATCAATAAAAATTTCTTAGTATGTTTTTGTTATTGGAAACTTCTCTCAACTTGGTCTTTTATGGTGACAGCAAAGTTTAATAGGAAGAGCATGGACTTTAGAATCAGACAGACCAGGGTTTTAATTCTGTGTCTTCTATTTATTGATTGTGCAATCTTAGGAAGTTGTGTTCATTGAACCTCCATTTCCTAAACACTCCTATTTCATTTTCGTGAGAATTTAAGAATTCAGAGTTCATCTTCTGGTTTCAGTTTTCTTTCCTGCTCCTTGTTAGGTACAGTTACAGTACTTTCAGCAGGGACCATCCACTTGGGGGTTAGTTTCTGCTTCATAATCTCCCTCTCCCTCTCCCTCCCCCCCCCACTTCTCCCCATCCTCCCAAAGCCCCCTCCTTCTCCTCCCTCCCCCCTGCTTTCTTTGTCTCTTCCCTCCAAAGAGTCTGAGTTGAAGCTTTTGGCATATGACTGACTGCCAAATGGAAAAAAAAAAATTCTCTTTTCTCAGTATTTCCCAGTCTTTTCTCAATATCTCTCAGTCATCCTTAATTTGCCTGATGAAAATAAAATTAACCACAGCCACTGCCAACCTGCAACTCTGTGGGGGCTTTTGTTCTTAAAGCCTCAGAAGCTATTTAGAAAGGCCCCAGGAAGACTCTCCTTCAGCAGCTCTTGGGAAGGAGGGGAAGATCTCTCCCTCCCAGCAGCTCTGGAATGTCTCCTCAGATGTTTGACGGTGCAGATGACACCAAGCCCTTAACTAACCATGTCAGTCTATAGGGTCTGGCAACTAGGTATGTCATTTGGGACTTTCCTGGAAGTATGCAGGGAAGCTGCCCAGGAAAAATGTGACCTCTGTCTATGTCACTGTGAGAAGCAAGTCAAAGGAAGCAGGGTTGAATCGGTCACTTTGTTCTGGGATGTTTGATGCCTGAGATCTAAAGCACACAGGTGGGTGGACATTGCATATTTTGTTTTGTCTTTCTTCTATCCTCTTTCACAATATTGTCAAATGTCAGTACACCATAAGGAATGGAAGTACAAAACCAGACAGTGCTCAGAAAGTTAAATATATTACCCAAATTATATTGAATATAATATCTTCCTCCAAAAACAGGGCAACCTGGGGAAGGAACCTTTTAAAAAGTTTTCTGTATTGGCAGATCATGGTGTAAAAGTTGTAAGATCTGTTAAATTCTTCTTCAGTGTCCTTAACACATACTCTCAACAGCCTTTTCTGCTTTGAAAAGACACACACACACACACACACACACACACACACACACACATCCCCTTGAGGACCTGCACTTCACCAGCTTACAGATGCCCCCACCACCCTCAGAGCAACTTTCTCCCCCTCAGTTCACTACAGCTTAGGGCTACATTTGGGGGTTTTTTATGAATTATTTGCAGATATCAGCTGAAAAGATTCATTTCAATTTTTTCACCCCTATAGAAATGCTTATGTGGAGTTGGCAGTCTCACCACGAGGAGTAGGATAAAGATAAAGTAATAACATCGAAACATGTGTTTACTCATTTCACATTTTGTGTGTGTCAGGCTCTAGGCTTATGAAAAGGGGCAAAATGGACTTCTTCCCTGCTCTCCGGGAGCTAGCCACATGGTATCAAGCAGTAAAGCTATCAAAACATATAAAGCTTATTTCAAATTAAGAGAAGTGTTATGATATTGTGACATTACCCAAGGAGATATTGTGGTGAGTCCCAGGAAAGTGCCCACCTATAGCAGTGATCAGGAGAAGGCAGCATCACATTGAGACTAGGAGGCTGGGAGGGAGCAGGCAAGGCAAGCCAGAGCTAGGCCCTTCTCAGCAGAAGCACCTCCAAGTGTACAACGACCCTAGGGCAGGAAAGAGGAATTGGGGAAAAGTCCGCGTTACTGGAGCTGGGTAGGCGAGAGAGAGCGGCTCTAGAGGAGGGAAGGTGAGTCACAGCCAGGCCATGACAGCTCTTCCACGTAAACCACACCTCAACAAAGGCTAACGTGTTGTATACTAGCTATGTGCCAGCACTGTTCTATGCACTTTACATTTAATGACTAACTTATTCTTCACAGCAACCCCTGAGGTAGGTATAATTATTTTCCTTTTGCATGTGAGGAAACTGAGGCACAGGGACATTAAATAATGTGCCCACATTCACACAATTAGGAACTGGTGGAGCTGCCTAGGCGGGGTGTATGCTTTTGGCCATCTCGCCAGGATGATTATTTCAGTTCATTCATGGAAGATTTAAAGAGGATGTCGTGATCTGATTTGCATTTTTTAAAAAACTTCTTTGCCTCACCATGGGAAATGGGTCAGACCAGGCACAAGGGAAAGTGGGAAGGCTGTTAAGAGGTTATTGCAATGGTCTCTGGAGAGATGTTGATGGAGACAAAGAGAAGTCTATAGGCTGAGGTTGGTTTTGGAGATAGAGTGATAGAGACGCGGAATGACAAGAGCCACACATGCCTGCCCTCTCCTTTAGAGATGGTCCTGAGCCAATTGGGGCAGCTTAATGCCAAAAATGACACGTGAACCAAAAATACCAAAACAGTGTTATTTCTCACATTTACAAGAACGTCAATGTCATATTTAGCTAAAACAAATGTATAAGATCTTGTAGGTTCCTCTGACAACCTATTTGATTTTTAATTATTTCTTAAAAAAAAAAAAAAGAGCACACGTCCAAACCAGTAAACCATTCCCTAGGAATCCTTCAAATGTGTGCTTTCCAAACCAAGGTTTAAGTACCCTTAGGATATGCAGCCTTGTGCCAGGGAGTACACAAGTTCACAAGTTTGCAGGATTAGCCTCTGCCTAGAGTACCAATATTACTTAAAGATTGAGGGGATTGGGGGCAGAGAAGAATATTGTCTTTTTATATTAGGTGGATGTTTTTGGAAAGAATGACTAATTTGCATGGATTTTTAAGATACAACATTAGACTTTAAAGAAACCTTACACTTGCTGTGAGTCACTTCAAGCTGAACCTGTAGACCATCCTCCAAGTGTACTTTCCTTTGCTGGGATTTGGCTAAAACCTCTTGGAGAAGCAGTGGGTTTGTAATGTTATCTATCAATCACACATGGAAAATTGTTCCATTATAGGGCACATGGGTATAAGTTGATAAAGCTTCTATGGGCAGGAGGGGGACACCTGTGTCTTGGCACATCTGTAACCTGTTAGCACACCAGTGGGCAAGGCACATTGGTTGGGAAACTCTGAGTTATGTAATGTTAAGAGGTGACTCGGTTGGAGTACAGGTATTAAGTGATTGTCCAGAATTATCTCCTCACACACACCAGGCACAGTGACTCAAGCCTATAATCCCAACACTTTGGGAGACTGAAGTGAGAGAATTGCCTGGGTTCAAGACTAGCCTGGGCAACGTGGTGAGACCTCATCTCTACAATAAATCAAAAAAATAAGTTTAAAAACACCTGCAAGATTTAGCACACTGAACAACCAAATGGTCACACCCTCCACAAGGCCTTCTTTGCCAACCTCCCTAGTTGCCACTTCTGATAGGAAAAATGTTTCAAGAGATATAAGAACTCCCTCCTCTGATAGTGTCAGACTTCAGTGACTTTGAGGCCTGGTGTGGTCCCTAGGAAAGTCAGCCAGGCGTCTTGGGAAGCTCTAAAGCAAGTAGGAAGGACTTTTGCTATTGTTGTTTTTACTGAAGTACAACATACATGTAGTAAAGCACATAAATCTTACATGCAAAGCTGAAAGGAACACAAATGTTCATTTCCAGCATCCCAGAAGCCCAGTCAATATCCTCCCACCCAAAGACCAGCATTATTCTGACTTCTGTCACCACAAATTGGTTTTGCCTAGTCTTGAACTTCACATAGGTTGAATTATGTAGGGTGTACTCTTTTGGAACTGGCTTCTTGTATTCAACATAGTATCCCTGAAATTCATCCATGTTGTTGTATAGCAAATGAGTCTTTTTTATTCTTGTGCATTGTGTGAGTCTACCACACTTTCATTCTTTTAAACCAAAAAAGTTTAGAAGTACAGGCATATCTCAAGTTTAGAAGTTCAAGCATATCTTGGAGATAGTTGCGAATCTGAGTCCGTACCACCACAATAAAGCTAATACCACAATAAAATGAGTCACACAATTTTTTTGGTTCCCCAGTGCATATAAAAGTTATGTTTAGCCAGGCACCATGGCTCAAGCCTGTAATCTCAGCACTTTGGGAAGCTGAAGCAAGAGAATTACCATAGCTCAGGGGTTCAAGACCAGCCTGGGCAACTTGGTGAGACCTCATCTCTACAATAAATCAAAAAATTAGCTAGGTATGGTGGTACATGCCTGCAGTTCCAGCTACTTGGAAAGTTGAGGTGGAAGAATCATTTAAACCCAGCAGGTCAAGGCTGCGGTGGCAGTGAGCATGCCACTACACTCCAGTCTGGGCGACAGAGTGAGATTCCAACTGAAAAAAAAATGGTTATGTTTATGTTATACTGTAGTCTCATAAGTGTGCAATAGCATTATATCTGAAAAATGGCATACTTTAATTTAAAAATACTTTATTGCTCAAAAATGCTAACAATTTTCTGAGTCTTCAACAAGTCATAATCTTTTTGCTGGTGGAAGATCTTGCTTCGATGTTGATGGCTGCTAACTGATTAGGGAGGTGGCTGCTGAAGGTTGGGGTGGCTATGGCAATTTCTTAAAATAAGACAATAGTAGAGTTTGCCATATCAGTTGACTCTTCCTTTCGCAAAACATTTCTCTGTAGTTTGTGATGTTGTTTGATAGCATTCACCCACAGTAATTAAGAGTTCCTCTTATACCCTGCTGCTGTTTTATCAACTGTGTGTGATATTCTAAATCCTTCAGTGTCATTTCAACAATGTTCACAACATCCTCACCAGCAGTAGATTCCACCTCAAGAAACCACTTCCTTTTCTCATTCATAAGAAGCAACTCCTCATCCACTGATGTTTTATCATGAGATTACAGCAATCCAGTCATATCTTTGGGCTCTATTTCTAATTCTAATTATCTTGCTGTTTCCTGCACATCTGTAGTGATTTACTCCACTGAAGTCTTAGCCCCTTAAAATCACCCATAAGGGATGGAATCAACTTCTTTCAAATTCTTGTTAATGTCAATGTTTTGACCTCTGCCCATGAATCACAAATTTTCTTAATGGTAACTAGAATAGTGAATCCTTTCCAGAAGTTTTTCAATTTACTTTTCCCAGACCGTCAGAGGAATCGCTATCTATGGCAGCTATAGGCTTACAACAAACATGTATTTCTTAAATAATAAGACTTAAAAGTCAGAATTACTCCTTGATTCATGGGCTGCAGAATGGATATTATGTTAGCTGGCATTAAAACCACATTCGTCTCCTTATACATTTCCATCACAGCATTTGGGTGACCAGGTGCTTTGTCAAGGAGCAGTATTATTTTGAAAGGATTTTTTTTCTGAACAGTAGGTCTCAGGAGTAGGCTGAAAATATTCAGTAAACTGGCAGTATCTCTTGCCCATGCCAGCTCTGGCATGGCTCCCTTTCTTTTCTCTCTTCTTTCTCTAATAAACTTTGTTTGAAACGTAAAAAAAAAAAAAAAAATTCAGTAAACCATGCTTCAAACAGATGTGCTGTCATCCAAACTTTGTTATTCCATTTCTAGAGCACAGACAGAGTAGATTTAGTATAATTCTTAAGGGCTCTAGGTTTTTCTGAATGGCAAGTAAGGATTGACTTCAGTTTCAACTCAACCAGCTGCATTTGCCCCTAACAAGAGAGTCAGCCTGTCCTTTGAAGCTTCAGTTATTGACTTCTCTCTAGCTATGAAAGTCCTCCTAATGGCATCTTCCTTCAATATAAGGGTGTTCTGTCTACATTGAAAATCTATGGTTCATTGCAATTACGTTCATTAGTGATCTTAGCTATTACTAACAGATCCTCTGGATAGCTTGCTGCAGCTTCTCCATCAGCACTTACTGCCTCACCTTGTATTTTATGTTATGGAGACAATTCCTTTCCCTAAACCTCATGAACCAACTTCTGCTAGCTTTCAGCTTTTCTTCTGCAGCTTCCCCACTTCTCTCAGTCTTCATAGAATTAAAGAGTGCTAAAGCTTTTCTCTGGATTAGACTTTGGCTTAAGGGAATTTTGTGGCTGATTTGATCTATCCAGACCACTAAAACTTTCTCGGTATCAGCATAAGATTGGATCACTTTCTTATCATTTGTGTGTTCACTGGAGTAGCACTTTTAATTTTCTTCAAGAACTTTTCTTCTGCATTCACAACTTGGCTGTTTGGCACAAGAGGCCTAGCTTTTGAGCTATTTTGACTTTAGACATGCCTTCCTCACTAAACTTAATAATCATTTCTAGCATTTGATTTAAACAGAGAAACATGGGACTGTTCTTTTCACTTGAACACTTAGAGGCCATTGTAAGGCTGTTAATTGGCCTGATTTCAATATTGTTGTGTCTCAGGGAAGAGGGAGACCTAGGAGAGGGAGAGAGATGGGGAAACATCCAGTCAGTGGTGCGAGTCAAAACACACACATTTATCAATGGAATTTGTCATCTTATATGTGGACGACTTGTGGCACCAAAACAATTGCAATACTAACATCAAAGAGCACTGACCACAGGTCACCATAACAAATATAAGAATAATGAAAAAGGTTGAAATACTGTGAGAATTACCAAGATGTGGCACTGAGACACAAAATGAGCATGTGCTGTTAGAAAAATGACACCAATGGGCTTGTTCAAAGCAGGCTTACACAAACCTTTAATCTGTATTTTAAAAAAAAGCAATATCTGTGAAGCACAATAAAATGAAGTATGACTGTACTAGTGTTTCCCAATTCGAAGAGGAAAAAAACAGACACAGACCCACAAAGTCCATGATTGTCATATTATATAATCCCAAAGTAAATAAGAGACAGATTATAATTAATTGTGTAATTATCACAATATATAATTATTTTTAAAACTCATAACCCATTATAAAAGAGGACTTGGTGTGTCTGCAGTTTTAAAGATGGTCTAATGATACCTTAAACTTTCAAGCAGAAACAGATTTGATTCCACTGGTTGCTTTTCTGTGACACGGAGTAAGTATATTTAAAGGAAGTGAAATATATACTATAATTAGAAAGCCAGTTTCAACTAGTAAATTAAACTTTACTGGGTTCTTGGGAACCACTCTGAACAATATAAATTCTTCATGGTGTCCTGCCCTAACCATGAGTGATGTCAAAATAATAATAATAATAATTTTTTCTCTTAAAGTTTATAGCCTGTTAATAAAATTTAAAACTGAAAATTACACTGAAATTACTTTTGTCTTTTTTATTTCTAAGCTTAAAATATCATTTGAAAACTTCACAGGCCTTTATTATTTAAAAAAATGTTAAACACAGAAACTTTGATGTGGCATTGTACTGCATAAAAACCAAATTGTTTAGCCAGCACATGGCACTGAGAAAAATGTCTGCTATTGACAAAAGAACTTCCATAAAATCAGTTTAGTGTAGGCCTGCTGATTATTGTCACCTATTCAAGAAAAAGTCAGAGAGGCCCTCCCTTAAAACTTCCTTCCCAGCAGGAATTCTTTTGACAATGACTTCTGCTTAGGGTCTTCCTGTTACTGTTTTATTTTTTTTTAATGCATAATCGAGCTAAAGAATTGTTGTGTGTTTCGATTTTTTGAAGTAATCTTACCTTGCACTAATTCTGATATCACATGTTTAATTTCAAGGATTAATATTTTTGTTATTTCTTTCAATGATATAAATGTGCATACAACACATAGATCAGAAACCAACATTTGATTTCAATGTGAGCATTATTTTCAGTGGCTTCTGAGGTTGTTTCTATTTGCTTCTCACTGTATCATATGATTTTTACCTTGTTTTTGCTATTGTAGCTTTTATATGTATAGTTTGATTTTAACTCAGTAAAAAAGAAAACCGTCTTGACCTTTGGGAAGAAAAGAAAACTGTTAAAGAGCAGTATGTTTTTAATTCAGGCAAAACAAATGTTTTTTAATTGATACATTTTTATTTCTGTTTTTATTTCTTTATAGACTTTAAATAACCTATAAAGGTTATTTAAGGATTTACTTTATCTTAAGGGACACTTAGTATTTACAACTCATCTTAATTGTATCCTTTTCCTCACAGGGGACCATTTGCCTAAATCTTTGGAAGGATTTTTTGTCTATGAAGAAGAAGGTTCTGGAGTTCCAGGTTGTAGTAGGAAAGGAAATGATGCCATTGTAGTAGAACAATGGACCGTTATTGAGGTGAGTCACAGTTTTCTGACAATTTAGCATTACTTGTATATTTCACTTTACATGTTAAAGATCTTCATTGCCTGGCACATGCAGCATCCTTAAATAATTATTTGTCCAGTGTTTGGAATTTCATCACAAATGCACAAACAAGCTCCTTTCAGGTTTGTGAAAAGGGCCTTGGCTGTACCCAATGTTAAACTTTTTTAGATCATAGGGAAATAATTATCTACACCTAAATAGTAGTGAGCTCCCCAAAATTTGGCATTCTAGCCTTAAACAAAGTCCCCTGTCACTGAGATTCTCTCGCAATCCCACGACAACTGATTGAAAGTGAAAAAAATTCTGTCAACTAGTGTTTTATCTTTAAGCAACCAATGGGACCTACTTTTTTTAACCCTATAAATTGACTTTCAAAGGCAAAAACATTGTGTACGTATTTGGCCTCTCTCACCAGGCCAAATACGTACACATGGCACTGTCCTTCATACTCAGAGATGACATTGCTGCTGATGCTGTGCACTCTGAATTCAGATGTCTCCAAACAGACTGCCCTCGAGGTATACAGACTGAATTCAGGTATTCTGTTTTGTATGAGGGCCTCACTAGCAGGCTCATTCAGGAACACTTTTGCCTTTCTGCCCTTACAAACTTTGGAGAAACATAACCTATTTTCAAAGAAACTAGAAATCTCATTGAGGGCGGGAAAAGGATTTGGGGGAAGAGGTAAAGGTTCAAGTAAAAAATCTGTTCTGAAAGAGTAAAAAGAGAAGACCTCCTGCCTCAAAGTGCCTGTCACCTTGAATGCCCTCATCCTCACGCCCCACTTGCCAGTCCCTAGAACAGTATTCTGAAAGTGCTCTCTCTAAATTCCTTGACTTCAAGTCCCCTGGGGAGCTCTCTTTAAAATACAGATTCCCAGCCCCAAATACATTAAAGTTTGAGAACCACTGTCCTAACAAGACCAAAGGAAGGCCCACACTTTGAAGAACCAGATGGAAACCTCTCTACTCTCAGGGTTTCTAACTTGGTTAGAAGGCAGCAGTAGCCACAAAAAAGTGAAATTGTACATCCTGAAAAAACATCTGTCTCCCTTTACTATAAACATGTAGCTGGTTGTCTTCACCATTAGATAATGAGCTCTTACACTTATTCATGCAGGGCTGTGAAATCAAAACGGATTATGGCCCTCTGCTGCACACTCTGGCTGAATTTGGATGGCTTCTGACAAGCGTGTTGCCTACACCTATATTGAGACATGACAGGTAATACAAAACCATCCGTATCCGCTATCATTTAATTCTGCAATTTAACTTCATTTGTTAGATAATTCACTTTAACAAATGCTTATTTAATGCCTACAGAAAACATTTCACCAGCTTCTAATTTGATTTTATAGAACTTGGAGATCAGCTGATCCAATCCTCTCTTGTTATAGATGTACTGGCTATTGGGCCTCAGCACCACATGTGCAAAACTATCCTCTCCTCGCACACAGCCAGGTATGGAAGTGCAGTAGGGTTCCAGAGCAAGCAAAAGGGAGGAGCACTCTTGCCTCCTCCCCTCCAGTGGGTGGGTTAGTTCTCCCCTGGAGCATGGCCTTGTTAGCTGTTTTCATTTAAATAAATACATATGTTAGAACCAAATGCCAACACTTCACAAGTACTAACTTTTTCTTGTCCTGTTCTCTTTTGACTAACTTTCCTGGGAAGGAAAGATCGAGTCCTACTTCTTTGTTACTGTTTGGAGACAGATCAATCACTTCTTCTGTGTAAAATGCTTTACTAACCCTTAGACCCAGCGATGTCTCCTCTACCCTCTTTAGCATCCAGGAAACAATTGACTGCCAAGACTGTCCTTCAGAGGACAGTACAGAACCCCCTGGGTATTCCCTTTAAGTAGAGTCAACCATGGCTCCACATTCTGAGTGCCTCAGGTATGACTGAGGCAGGCAATATGAATCACTGGAGAGCTTACAAACACAAGAGTGCTCAAGGCCCACCCCAGCCGGACAGACTCAGAAGCTTGGAGGGTGGGACCCTTGGATCTGCACTTTCACAAGTTCCTGAAACAAACTAGCATTTGAGAAACTTCGTAGGAGGTAGTGAAAGAAAAAGGACTTCTCTTCCCTGCTTCCCTCTCCTTCTTCGTGGCTCCAGCTGTTCACTCACCTACATGCCATCCTCCATCAGAACAGCTCGTGTATTTGGCCCTCTCTTCTCTTTCTCATAATTCTCCTGGATGCCTATCTTAGGATGTCATTCAGCACGTTCCAGTTAGGCCTTCCAAAAAGTTTGAGTTCTGAACTTGTCCTATTCCTTTTCCCCATGAAAAATATATTGGCTAGGCTCGGTAGCTCAGCCTGTAATCCCAGCACTTTGGGAGGCCAAGGCGAATGGATTGCCTGAGCCCATGGGTTCAAGACCAGCCCGGGCAACTTGGCGAGACCTCATCTCTACAATTTAAAAAATTTTTTTTTAATTTTTAAAAATTAGCCAGGCATGGTAACACACACCTGTAGTACCAGCTACTTGGAAGTCTGAGGCAGACAGATCGCGGGAGCACAGTAGGTCGACACTGGGGTGGCCATGAGTGTGCCACTGCACTCCAGCCTGGGCAATGGAGTGAGACTTCAACTCAAAAAAAAAGAGAAATAGATTTATGATTTCCTCCCATTCACCCAGGGCTTCTGCTCTCAGAGCCTACGTATTTTCTAAAGTGACATGAATGACAGCCTACTAGGGGAGATGGCAAGTCCACGAGATTGGTGCTGAGCCGTAGAACAAGGGGCTAGAGCTCCTTCAGCCTCTCCTGCAGCCAGTCATCATTGGTTTGGGAATGAGGACACAACTGAGCCTAAAGCTGGGACTAAAGAGGCCCTGAGTAAACTGTGAAGGAGAGACCGGTGGATCCTGAAGCTGTACAAGGTCATGACCTGCATCCAGAGCATGGGAGACCCACTGGCATGAGGAATGACTGTATACTGTTTCTAGAGCACAGGAAGGGAGAGAGACACCAGTACCTCACCACCAGTCCAGCTTCTCCTCACCTAGTGTCCACCAAGGCCTTGTGGTATCACAGAAGTGGACCTTCCATTACCTCCTTGTGAAGGCTTATCTTCATGTGTAATTAAAATGGCAAAGGGACTATGTGCTTGGCTGCTCATTCAACTATTGTTCATAATGGTGAAAAATCAGACACAATGTCTATCATGAAGAAACTGGTTAAATATATTATGGACTATCTATACAATAGAATAGTATGAAGCTGATAAAAAATGAGTAGATTCGTATATATCATATAATTTTCTGTGATAATTGTTCAGTTTTGTTTTGTTTTTTTAAAAAAGCAAGTTTCAGAACAGTATCAGAATACAGTCCCAATTTGTAAAGTTTATACATTTTGAATCTATCTAAAACAACTCTGAACGCCTATCTAGCAAATTCCAGTGCGTGGTTAGCTCTCAGGGTCATGGGGAAAGGGAAGGCAGGGACTCCCACTTTGTCTTTATACATTTGCGGGCAGCAGCCTCAGAAGCACAAGAAGCCTGTAATTTCCTCTAAATCCTCATGTGGCAGCCAAAGCAGAAGTTGCATGTTTCTATACATACAGTCAAGGGAAAGGCTAGGATTTGGCCCATTTTAATGCAGTTCTCTGCTCTTTTTAATTTAAATTCTGTAGAAACAGTGTCATGTGATTCCATCATGACTTAAGCTCATAATCTTGCGACATTTTGATAAGGCCACATTTTCTAAATAGTTCATTGTCTATTATATATACTTCTGATTTATCATCACTCTTCCTCATCTGAACTTAAATTTGTAACAGTTTGTAGAGTCAAGGGAGGAGTTGGCACAAATTGTGGTAGTGCCCTTTTTTTGTTTTTAACACACATACTAATACCTGATAAACGATAAGGGTCATAAGGCAAAGGAACTTTGTGACAAAGCACATAGCTATGAAATTGCAAGCTAAAATTTAATTTTATAATGTTGCTTTTAAAAGGCAAAATTTTATGTCAATAAAATTGTATTTCAATAAAATTTACTTTTGAGTTGCAAATGTCAAACCATGGCAATTATTTAATGTGTAAGATGAAGCAAAAGTAATCAGAGAATACAAATTAACCTAAAAATGCTCTGTCTTCTAGTCTAATGAGTCTTAGAACCATAAACAAAAGCTTTTGATAAGAGTATTTTTATTTCACAAGTGACTAAGCAGTTGCAAATAAGCCCACTCTTTTGAAACAAACTGATTCAGTTGTATACAAACTGATTCAGATTCATGCAATTTATTTTAACCAGAATGTTCTTGCAATTCAGTTCAAATATTTATTGAGTGCCTAATGTGTGCAAGGCAATATTTTACCCACTTGAAGGGCAGACCTCCAGGAACTCATAATATGCTTTGAGAAGCAACACAATGATAAATAAAAATGCAGAACACATCTTGACAAGCCCTGAGTTAGAAGCCTAAAGCTTGTATTCTCTACAGGGGTGATATTGCCCCAGGAGGGTAAAAACAGGTTACTGGGAACAGGACTGGGTGAAAAAAATCTTAGCTATTACAATGGTTTGTGGTCCTCCAAAAGGTCACAGTATTTACAAAGATATGCAGCATATCTTTGGTAGTAAAATCTAATGGGAGGAGATTAGGGGGAAAATATCTGAAAGCTCCTTAGAGAAGCAATAGTGAAAAAAGAGTTCAGTATAAGGCGGTGAATAAGAGGACATCAGTGAAAGGGGAGAGTGGCTCTGTGAAACCCGTAATGTCTGAGAGGACAGTCATAAAAGAGAAGAGTTTCCTAAAGCAGTTCTAGAGAGAAGTATTTCTCATGGCAGAAAGGGCCTACGTGGAATAATAAATGGGTTTCCTCTCACATACAACTCTGGTCTATTGGTGGAGGCTGCCTGGAACACTGCGATAAGGACGCTGAGACTAGAACCAGCTCAGCAAAAAACAGTGAGATGCTCAATTAAGTAATGTTTGTGTGCGTGGAAGGCAGGAGTTGGAGTATGAATCTACAGACAATTTGCTCTCTCTGACAACCATAAGCAAAGAAAGCATAGTCATGAAAGTGCAGGATGTATTCGGGAAAGAGTGAATACAGGTGAATAAATTCCTAATGACCTTGACTCATTTAAAACCCATAGAATTCGAGACTAATGTTTCCAAAAGAGTAATCATAAAAGGGGAGGGGGCTTTTTTATCATGTATAAATCTGTGATCAATCTTCTACATATAACCATTAGATATACTCTGTTAAAACAATTTTTGTGAAATAAAGCATACATGGAGAAAGTGCATAAAACACAAATGTGCATAATTATAAACAAACACCTGTGTAATCACTGCAAGGCAAGAAATAGGATACTGCCAGCACCTAGAAGCACCCCGTGTATTTCACCCTCACACCCTACTTCCTTCACCCAGAAGTAACATTATACCAACTTTTAGATTAATCACATCCTTGATTTCTCTAATAGTTTTATTACTTGTGTATGAATACCTAACCAATTCAGTTCAGTTTTTCCTGTTTTTTAACTTTATATTAATTGAATCATATCACATATATTCTTTTATGTCTTTTTCACCAAACATTCTATGTTCCATCCATGTTGTGCTGCTGCTGGGGGTTTGGTTGTCTCCAGTTACTGAACATGACAAACAGTGCCGTTTTGAGCATGAGCAGGGATCTTAGTGCACACATTTGTGAGTTTCTAGAAGCGAAATTGGTGGGTCATCAGGCATTTCTTTAGCTTTATTAGGTAAATGCCAAATTCTTTCCAAATAGATTGCTTCAGTTTACACTCCTACTAGCAGACTATGAGAGTTGCCAATGCTCCAACACAAAATACTATCATACATAAATTTTGCCATTGTGATAAAGTATATATAGTGTGATTTCTATTTGTATTTTCCTAATTATTTCTGAGACTGAGCACATTCACATGTTTCTTGGTCACTTGGATTTTTCCTTTGTAGAGTACATGTTCATGCCTTTTTCCTCACATTTAAAATTGTATTTATAAATTATTTAAATATAATATATATGAGTCATTTATTTGTTATATGTGTTGCAATTATTTTCACTAATTCTGTGGCTTGTCTTTTTACTCTATGATGTCTTTTCATTAACAAAAGTTTTTAATTTTAAAATTGGCAAAGGATCAATCTTTATCCTTTGTGGTATATCGTTTGAGAAATCTCTCCCTTCACTGAAGTTAGGGGTGAGGAAGAGTAAATTATTTTTATAATTGAGACATTTTAATAATCCAAATTAATATCAAATTCTGTCATCTGTAGTCATTATAGACTCATGCTCTTGAAGAACAGGTTTTGTGAGAAGGAAGAGTTAAGATTCATGGGCTCGGTGGCTCAGCCTGTAATCCCAGCACTTTGGGAGGCCAAGGTGAGTGGATTGCCTGAGCCCGCAGGTTCAAGACCCGCCTGGGCAATTTGGCGAGACCTCATCTCTACAATAAATCAAAAATTAGCCAGGTGTGGTAGCGCGTGCCTGTAGTTCCAGCTACTTGGAAGGCTGAGGCGGAAGGATTGCCGGAGCCCCTCAGGTCGAGGCTGCGATGGCCGGGAGCGGCTACTGCACTCCAGTCTGGACGACAGAATGAGACTCCAACTCAAAAAAAAAAAAAAAAAGATTCATACACCTTGAACATTATCCAGAATTCTCTTCTCTGTCCTCATGTACCCTGTCCCTTGAATTTGTTCTCCGGAAGATATTCTTGATTCCCCTTCCCCTTAACTCCACCCCACACTTCACTTAATAAAAGGAGAAAGTGGAAGAAGGAAATTACATTTGTTGTGATTTTTCTAGTGGCAGGCACAATGAGAGTCTCTTCATGCCCTTTATATCCTTAACAAAATCACTAGGAAACTGAGTCAGAGAATGTAGGACTTTGACCAAAACCATCAGCAATTAGGCATTATAATAGCATTCGGATTTGAGCCCAGGAACTGTCTGGTTCCAAAGCTACTGCTTTTCCCAGTGTACTCCATGCCTCTCAAACACATGCCCAGTCTTTTCTGTATGCATGCTAATCCCTTCCCTGTCCCAAAGTCTCATGATGATTTAAGTTGCTCCCAAAACTTACTGTATATTGTATACAAGTCTATTGTTCTCATCAAAGATTGGACTAAAATGAGGTTAGACTAGAAACAGTCTTTTAAAATTAAAAATAGAAAAGAAGCAGTCTCCTGTTACCACTTTGGGAAAGATTTGATATTTCTTAAAATTCAGTGGCATCAGTAAGTTTGGGATTTTCATATGGTGTGTAGTTGACATATACCTCCAGAGCCAGAGTTTCAGTGTTGCATTCATTTTCAGAAAAAGAGCACAGTATAAAATGCCCCTAATAGTAAGGTTTTGTTGGGGTTTTTTGCATAATAAAAGTCGTAACTGAGCAACATTAGCTACAGACACTCCTCCCCATAAATCCATGGAGACTCTGTGAAAAGCATTTCAGAGGAATACAAACCCCAAGTAGTCTTTGGCAAGGGGTAATTTGCCATGATGATAGTTAAATAAGGAGAATACTGAGTAGCTGACTACAAAGAACCATCTGAAAATAAAACTAGCTGTGGTTGAAGTCCCTCAATTGAAAATGTATGTATAATTTCTCACATGTGGCAGCCCAAATTGGTCTCTTCTTTTTGTAAGGCAAATTTGACAATGCATACCAAGAGGTTTAAATCATACTCCTTTGCCCTACTAATCCCACTCCTGAGATTTCTATCTCAAAGAAATAATTCATAAGATAAAAAAATTATACATATTTTCATAATAGTGTTATTTATAATTAGGGAGAAACTGGAACTCTCATTTTCCAATAACAAAGAAAAGGCTTAGTGCGTCTTGGTATATTAATTATCTAAGATATTATGCAACCATTAAAAATATGATTACAGGCTGGGTACAGTGGCTCAAACCACTGTGTAATCCCAGCACTTTGGCAGGCCGAGGCAAGAGGATTGCTTGAGCTCAGGGATTCAAGACTAGCATGGGCAACTTGGTGAGACCTCATCAAAAAATAAGCCAGGCATGGTAGTGCTTGCCTGTAGTTCCAGCTACTTGGAAGACTGAAGCAGAAGGATCACCTGAGCCCAGCAGGTCAAGTCTGTGGTGGCCGTGAGCATGCCACTGCACTCTAGACAGGGCAACAGAGTGAGACTCCAACTCAAAAAAAAAAAAATGATTACAGTATTCAAACTAGGAAAGAGATGTTCAGTGAAAGGCATACAAACAAAAATATGCCTATGTAGTGGTTACAGACATGGGGAAATACACAAGCAGGTAAAGACTAAGGAGGAGCAAAGAGACGAAACTATGTTAGCATATTGAGATCACAAGAGTCTTTAAACATTAAAATCAGATGCAAGACCAGGACAGCCCAACCTTTCAATAATGAGCATATTCATCTGGGTTTTTTCCTTGTTTTCCAGATGCAGCCTATATAGAATTATATTTTATAATTCTATATAGTCTATGGTCTATGGTCAGAAGATTATTTTACAGAGGATACATATGGAACATTCTAGCCAAGTGTGAAACATAGATAATTACTAGTTCATAAATACTAATGCTATTTTTTTAATTTGCAGTGAGGGGAATTTGGCTACAAAGCAGGTCGTATTCCTTCAGAGGCCAGTTGTATGGAATTCAGCTGCCCAAACAACAGATGTGAGTAAAATTGACAATTTTTAAACTGAATGTTATGTTGAAGCACTTAATCCTTCAACTCTCAGTGTAATCCCAAATGGTGAATACAGATGAGGAAGTGTGGACCTGTTATGGAAATACTCCTCTGAACCAACATATAAGAAGGGCAACATGGGCCGGGTGAGGTGGCTCAAGCCTGTAATCCCAGCACTTTGGGAGACCGAGGCAAGAGGATTGCCTGAGCCCACGGGTTTAAGACCAGCCTGAACAACATGGTGAGACCTCATGTCTACAATAAATAAATAAATAAATAATTAACCAGATGTGGTAGCACATGCCTGTAGTCCGGCTACTTGGAAGACTGAGGTGGAAGGCTCGCCAGAGCCCAGCAGGCCAACGCTGGGGTGGCCGTGAGCATGCCACTGCACTCCACTCCAGCCTGGGTGATGGAGTGAGACACCAATGCAAAAAAAAAAGAAGAAGGGCAACATGCCAGTAATCCAGCAACTTGAGACAGTTCTGAAGGGGATTAGAATATGCTGCCCCAAAACGTGCTGCTTTGATATGAAGTTTATTTTGAGGATAAGGCAAGTAAAAAACAACAGACATGGAAGGAACTTTTTGCCCTCCATCTTTCTTCCAAAAAAAACAAAGCATACATTTCACCTTATAAAATTAACATAAACCTACCTATCACCATATACAAAAATTAACTCAAAATGAACCAAGGGCTTAAATTAGTAACCTCAAACTATAAGAATCTTAGATGAAAACCTAGGAAACACCCTCCTGGACCTCAGTTCAGTCTAGGCAATGAATTCATGGCAAAGTCCTCAAAAGCAAATGCAACAAAAATTAAAATTGACAGATGGTACTTTAACAAGCTAAAAAACTTATGCACTGCCAAAAAAAAATCAAGAGAATAAAAAGACATCATAGAAAATGGGAAAAAATACTTGCAAGCTATACATCTAACAAAGACCTAACATCCAGGATCTATAAGGAACTCAAACAGACTGACAGCAAAAAAAATGAATAACCTCGTTAAAAAGTAGACAAAGGACATGAAGAGACATACAAGCAGCCAACAAACACACAAAAAAATTGCTCAGCATCACTAATCATCAGAGAAATGCAAATCAAAACTACAATGAGATACTGTCTCATACCAATCAGGATGTCTATTATTATTAAAAAGTCAAAAAACAACAGATATTGGCACCACTGCAGAGAAAAGGAAAGGCTCATACACTGTTGGTGGGAATGTAAGCTAGTTAACCTTTGTGGGAGGCAGCTTGGAGATTTCTCATAGAACTAAAAATAGAGCTACCATTTGACCTAGCAATCCATACTTCTGGGAATATACCCAAAGGAACACGAATCGCTCTCCTAAAAAGACATCTGCATGTATGTGTGTATTGCACCACTATTGACAGCAGCAAAAACATGGAACCAACCCAGATGCCCATCAAAGGTGGACTGGATAAAGAAAATGTAGAACATATACACCATAGAATACTATGCAGCCATATAGAAAAACAAAATCGTGTCCTTTGCAGCTACATGAATGCAGCTGGAGACCATCATTCTAAGAAAATTATCACAGAAACAGAAAACGAAATACTGCATGTTCTCACTCATAAGTGGGTACTAAGCATTGGGCACATGGGCACAAGGACAGGAACAACAACACTAAGCCTTGCTATATAAAAAAAAAAAAAAGGAGGGAGGGAGAGAGGATAAGGTATACAAAACCACCCACTGGGTACCATGTCCACTACTGCCCAAAACAAGAAATTCGCCAAAGGATCAGGAAATGATTTAAAGTTATTATTTTTCTGTGTTTATATCAAGAAAACATTGTCTTATCCTTAGCAAAACTGCAGAGATTAAAAAAAACACACACTTTTTTGAAGATGTTAAAATTGTCTAAACTACCAAAGGTAGGCTGACAGTGTGTATAATATAGTCAGTCTAAGTTATCTCATATTAATTTTGGAAAGAGGCTGACTGGCTCAGTAGGTAAGTGGGTAGAAAGGTAGAAAGGTGAACAGGAAGATGGGGAGAAAGGAGGATAGAGTGATCAAGCATACAGATATTAGAAAGACTGCATTTGAGCCCACAAGTGATTCTGCACACCTCCACACTAATGAGGATGACTCAAGTTTATTTAAGATTATAAAGTTTGAGTTTGTTAAGAATATTCTGCTAAGTGACCTCTCACAGAAACAAAGATCTGAGTATCACATGTTCTCACTCATATAGTGGACCTTGATCATCCAATGCACTACTATAAGAAAATGACTGACAGTGTTGGGAAACTATGGGGGGGATGGGACTAATGGTAGTAAACATCTGTTTGGAGACCGGGAGACACCTGTTATCAACAAGGGGGCCTGAATGAAGCATATTTGTATATCTGTTTATTTCCTGAAAATATTTAGGATCTTTTTGTCTAACTTTATTTATTTTTTTAAAATGAGATGGGGATCTCTCTATGTTGTTCAGACTGGTCTCAAACTCCTAGGCTCAAGCAATATTCCCACCTCAGCCTCCTTAGTTGGGATTACAGGTACATGCCACCACGTCTGGCCCTTTTTGTGTTTAACTTTAATGCTATCCAGTAGTGGAAACTTTTTATTGGATAATCTTTATACTTACATTCATTGTAATATATAATTACTGATTCATTTGTATAATTAGAAGGAAGTATATATATAATTGTCTAATATCAGTGACAAACTCAAGAATAATGTATTTTATAGCTTGGAATTCTGCTTCTAAATAGATTGACTATTTCTGCACTCGACAAATGTTTAAATTTTCTGGCAATTTCTTGAGATTATTTCAGGGCAGAACATGTAGGTGAATCAGTCTGGAGCTGAAATATCTAACAGCTATAACCAAAAACCTATTTGCACGTTATGTTAGTTTTCTCTTTGGGAAAGCAAACTAATAATATCACCATAGAGTTAATTTAGCTATCTCATGTATGTTTTGTGAAAATTATATTTATATTATGCCTTGGAAAAAATTATGTAGTCATAGATCCATAATGGCACTGTTTTGTTTTATACCTTGAAATCAGTTATTTTTGAGAGGGACTAATAAGGTGATTGCTTCATTTATAAAGTTTTCCAATAATTTTTTCAAAAACGTTTAGTTCTAAAAACAGCTGTGGAGATCTGAGATATTATGAGTGTTGCCCTAAGATTTTCAATGAGTTTTCATTAAATGATAAATTTCATGTACTGGTAGAAATTAACCTAGAGTCTGACTTTTTTAAAAAAGTCTCTATTTCTTCTACTAATACTAATGTCAGGATATATAAGACTTTCTCTGTCCAATTGCACTCAGCACAGAACAGTACTTTCATGTGAAACAAATTCATTTCACACCCCTGTTGTGGGGGAGGAAATTGAGAATTGCACAATGAAGAAAGCATATTGTGGGAATTTTTTTCTGCGGAAGCTATCAAGACCTTTACCTTTGGAATTTGTTTTATATTTCATAGATATGTTTTATGCTATGTGCTAGAAAGCCTGAGAAAATTTTTAACATGAAAAATGGCAATTCAAAGTATTTATCTTCGTGTTTACTGTCTTAATTTTCTTTAAGATATTAAAAGATTGTTTTAATAAAACTAAAAAACTATTAGGACAAAAACAAGAGGAAAATCTTCTTAAATTTGGGTTAGGCAAAAAGAGTTCTTAGACATAACACCAAAAGCATAATCCATTAAAAATTGGTAAATTAGACTTCATCAAAACTAAAAACTTTTAATCTTTAAGTGACATTGTTAAGAGAACTAAACCTCATCAGCAAAGGTACCTGCATAATGACCATTTGTATACCTAACCCTGAGTTGTACCCCACATCTTTAAAATAAAATAAATAAATAAAAAGAAGAAAAAGAAAGAGAATGAGAAGATAAGCCACAGACTAGAACTAGGAGAAAAAATTCACAAATCACATTATAACAAAGGAATTTTATCCAGAAGTTTTCAAGAACTCTTAAAATTCAATAGTAGGAAAACAAAACAGTTTTTTTAAAAAATAGTTAAAAGATGTGGAACACTTCACCAATGAGGATGTGTAAATGAGAAATAAATACATGAAAAACTGCTTAAGTCACTAGCCATTAGAGCAGTGCAAATGAAAAGCATGATGAGATATACCTTTGAGAAAGACTAAAATAAAAAATGCTGACAGTACCAAGAGCTGGAGAGGATGAGAAAGAGTCAGAACTCTTGTACACTGCTGGTGGGGGGTGCAAAATGGTACAACCACCCTGGAAAACAGTTTGGCAGCTTCTTAGGCAGTTACCATATGACCCAACTATCTCTCTCTTGAATGTCTTCCACAGATGAATGGATAAACAATTATGGTGCATCAATATAATTAACTACTACTAAGAAGTAAAAAGGAATGAACTTCCTGATAAGTCACAATAACTTGGGTTAAACTCAAAGGCATTACTGAATTTAAAAAGCCAGTCTTAAAAGGTTACAGACTGGGCTGGGCACAGTGGCGGGTACAGTGGCTCACACCTGTAATCCCAGCACTTTGGGAGGCAAAGGCAAGAGGATTGCCTGAGTCCAGGTGTTTGAGACCAGCCTGGGCAAACTGGAGAGACCTCGTCTCTACAGTAAATCAAAGAATTAGCTGGGTGTGGTGGTGCATGTCTGTAATTCCAGCTACTTGGAAGGCTGAGGTGAAAGGATCACCTGAGCCCAGCAGATCAAGGTTGCGGTGACCGTGAACATGTCACTGCATTCCAGCCTGGGTGACAAGAGTGAGACTTTGACTCAAAAAAAAGGTTACAGACTGTACAGACTGTATTAATCTATTTAGATGACACTGACATTCTCAAGAAGATGAAACTATAGTGTGGACTGGTGATGATGGAAGAGTGTGATCATAGGATACATGGGGAGCGTTTTGGGAGTGGTAGAATTATTCTGTGTCCTGATTATGGTTACACAAATCTATACATGGGTTAAAATTCACAGAATTGCACA